TCTTCCTTTTTTTTTAAACGTTTATTTTTGAGAGAGAGAGAGAGAGACAGACAGACAGAGGATCAGAAGCAGGGTCTGCGCTGACAGCAGAGAGCCCCATGTAAGGCTCTAACCCACAAACCGTGAGATCATGACCTGAGCCAAAGTCAGATGCTTACCTGGTGCCCCTAATCTAGCTTGTAATATATTCACCCAATTCTCATTTTTCACATTGGTCTTTTGGGTTCTGAGTCTCTCTGGTTCCTGGATGGCCCTGTTTTTTCACATTCCATGAACTGGTCTGTTTTCTCTGCTCCTTGTTTTACTGCCTTCCCTGCGGCCATGTACACACCAATTGTTATTGCCATTGAGGGCTGATCTGCCTGTCTCCTGGCCCCAGTACCCGGCTTCCCATTGAGAAAACCCCCATCTCCCACTCTCAGCTCTCCACCCCTACCTCCAGGGAAGGCATGTGACTAAGAGCTGGATGGTCCACACATCATATTCCCCACCCCTGACCACAGTAATTGGTTCAGGGATGACGCAATTTGAGCCAATGAGACTCAGAGATTTTGCTAGAAACCTTAAGAGGGGCACATGACCCTTTCCCTCAAATTGAGACTTAAGATGTAGGTCTACTGCTGCTCACAGGTATGTTACCACCATGGGGGTCTGAGGATGAAGTCAGGTGGGAGCCTGGAGCAGGTGGTGGCAAGGGAGATTAGAGGTGTGGACGGATTCCAGAACTTGGAATCCCCCTACCGTGGGGAAGGAGGCAGGGAAACACCCAGGATGATGCATATATATAGTGGTGTTCTTCCCCCAGGAGAGGGCGCCAAGTCTGTAAGGTAAATCGTGTGCTAGATTTCTGGACACATTGAGCATCAGGGACTTTGGGACAAAACAAAATGTATGTTGCCACTGTTTTAGTGGACTGAGTTCAGACACCCTGTCAATCCCTGTCACGAGCTCCTCACAGCCATCCTTCCTCACCTCAGTGATACATGAGATCTGCATAAGTAGCTGTCTCAGAATCATTACAGAGTAATCCACAGTAATTCAAAGACAAGCTGTCCCTTGAACTGTCCCCTTTCCCTGTGTTTTACTGGTTTGAATTTCTCAGTTTCTGATCCCTTTCCAGGACCAACTTCTAATTCTTACAAATCAAGCTGATGAAAATCCCAGCACCAACAGAGATGCTCATATCCTTTTAACTGCCTGACAAACATTAAAAGACCCAATGGTGTTGAGGTCTTTTCTGGTGATGTCTGCTACCATTTGAGGAAGAGGGAGTGTTCCATAAATGGCAGGTCTCCTTATTTCCACAGATGGAGATGGACTGCCAGCTCTGGTGTCACTGGTCCAAGATGGTTCCTTCCTGGTACAAGAGTTGTCAGCCCCTTGGACACGGATGGTGCTCACACAAGCTCTTTCGGTTTGGGCCATACAAACAGCTCCACTGTATATATCATCAGAACAACAGGACTGCACTTGGCCATAACTGACCTGGGCTCTTCTTTTTTCTTCTCTACCTGTGTTGCCTCAGTCAACGTCCCCAAGCATCACCTACTTGGTTAGTTCATTTTGTCCCTGCCACTAGCAGTGTTCAGGCAGAAGCCCCTCCTGAAATAGAATCCTATCTCCACACTCTCCAAACATGTGAACTCCCTTGCTGATTCTAAATGAAGACATCTGAAGGTAAGACCATACACTTGACTTCATAAAAATAGAATATCGACCTATTTAGAATTAATGCTCAAGGTGTTGGCAAGGAAACATCAATTGGAAGTGTAAACTAAAAAACAACGTTGTGGACAATCAAAGCTCTAGTAAGAATGAAGAAATCAAATGTGGTCTAATGGAAAGGGAACTGCCCTGTCAAGATGGAGACGCACTTTGGAATCCTCAGCTCACTTCTTCCACCATTTACCTGCAGATATGTGAGCAGACTTTGCTCTGTGCCTCGGTTTCTCTTTGTGTAAAAGGCAGAGGATAATGAATCCCATGCATGCTTCTCCATAGGAGAAAACAACTATATAGAATACCCATTCAATATATTTTTTTAAACAGAAGGATTTGGGTTTTTGCAAAACTGTGGCTAATTCAACTAAGGGCTTTCCTTGCAATGTTATCAACAAATGGGTCTTCATGAAAGAGAAATAAAAATGACAGCAAGGACGGGATGAAAAAAGCATCTGTAACCTCATTCAGACAGAAGAGTCTAGCTTCCAGCAACAGCAGCAGAAGCAGCAGTAGAAAACAGTCTTAGGGCCATGTATTTGACATGCCAGACATTCATGTGTCTGAAGCAGTGAGGTTATATGGACACTGGGTAAGTCAGTCATTATGTGGAGCTTAGGTTTCGTGTCAACACTGCCAATACTCTCTTCACCAAAAGGGAATTACTACAAGATCAGTCTGCCACCGAAGTTCCCTCTAGAAGGTCATCACTTTCTACTCCTTCTAAGACACAAGACAGTTCAACACAGGTGGCTATGTCTCTTTTCTTCGTTTCATGCGTGATACAGTCCAGAGCTACCGGAATTCTTAGTTCTTAAGGGAGGAGGGAGTGAATGTTGTTTCTCTTATGTCCTTTGTTAATGTGAAGAAACCAAGCCACATATTTTTTAATAATGAGAATCTGGATCAAGTTCAATGTATAGTTCAAAAATGGATTCCAATTAAACAACTGAATAGAATTTTGGCTCTCCCTCCAGCCCCATCCCACTACCATATGTATCTAGTAATTCCAAGTTCATCCCCCACCAATAAAAAATGGACTCCCTAATTGTGACATTTTGCTTCAAAAGTCCATTTCTCTTAAACCATTGTTTCCCAAGTGTCAACAATAAATTTATCATGTGGATAAATTTTTGATAGAAACACCGTGAAACCGGCCATGTTACACACCTAAGCAACTCACGCCAGTTCCCTCTGCCTGTGCCTGCCTAACGGCCCCACGTGCTGCTGAAATACAGGTTGCCAACCCCAGTCATCACTCCACATCCACATCTACACACATATTAGGTAGTTGTGCTCCAAGCACATGTATCAGACAGTGACCCTGCCTACCTGAGCCACAGTGCCACCAAGTGACTTCACTTGGCATTGTTCATTAGGTACTTCCGGGGTGCCAGGCCCTGTGACAGTTCTTGAGAACACAGCAGTGAACACAATGTCCCCACCCATGCCTGCTTCGCAATAACTGGCAATACCCCTGCCAACATTCTCACACCAGCCTCCATGATACAAACTCTTGCTTAGCTAGAGCTTGCAAAATCGACATAAAGCAAGGGCAAAGAAGCAAGGAGCCACCTCACAAATAAACAGGATCAAGTAAGTATCTTTGCATGAGAATGACACATGTTCCTTTATGAAGCGTGTTTACATAAATGATCTTGTAAAAAAATTACCCCTCTTTGGTGGGTGAGGAAAACAGATTCACTAGAAGTATACCTTGCCCAAGGTCATAGAGAGGTAGTGGCCATCCAAGATGGAGACCCAGATTTCCCAACTGTCAGAATACCTCTGCCTCCTAAGGGCCACGAGAGCCTAGAAGCAATAGCAACACCCTGAAGATGCATTGACCCTTCCTTTCTCACAGGATTATGAGGAGAAGGCTGCTTCATGCAGAGGGCTTCCATTTCTCCTCCATTTATTAAAAAAAAAAAGAGAGAGAGAGAGAGAAATTCTGGATTACTTGCCTCACCAGATCCCTGTGAAGGTGAATGGTCTAATCATGTTTTAAATAACTAATCATCAGAAAGGCAGTATCTCTTGTCCCTGATGCATCTGCCTCTCAGGTATCCATGTACAGGGACAGAGAGGGACAGAGATGGTGGCGATGACGACCACCGCCACCACCACCACGAGAGCTAGCATGTCGTGAGCGCTTCCCCTGTTTCCATTGTCTCATTTAATCCTCACAAAAATTCTTCATTTTGCACATGAGAAAACTAAGTATCGGAAAGGATTAGGGACTTGGTCAAGGTCCCAAAGCTAGGAAGAGCCTAACCCAAGCGGTCTGACTCCAGACCCTATGTTTTCAATCTCTTTATCTTACAATCTGAGAGAGCGCAATAATTTAGGTTACAAAACCTAATTTAGCGTGCAAACCACCAGAAGCTCCCCTGGGAGGGGAATGTAATATAATGTATCATCAAGTCCTAGAAGGGTCTCCTATATGGCAGAGCCACAATTTCAAAACTCGGGGCTCTATTAACGGCAGCCATTTGACAGAACAGAATAAGCTTTGTCTGTAATTTTGGCCCGTGCCACTCTGGGACGGGAGGAAGTTGGAGAGGGAGGCTTATAAAGCATCTGACACTCTGGAAGCTTCCCCAGGTGAACGGGGGCTGTGCTGGGAAGAGCCACCAATGGGACTGAAGAAAGGAGTCGAGGTCAGCCCACGAGTCACCTGTGCGCAGGCCACAGGCTTCCCGACCTGAGCTGCCAGAGAGGGCAGATACTGGAAGAAAGGACAAATCAGTGTAAGGAAAAAGTCCACCCAGCCCATCAACCTGAGGCAGGTGTTGTTCCACGTAAACAAGAACAGGAAGGAACACAAGTCGCGAGACTCCGACGGGCTTGTGGCAGCCCCCCGCTCGCTGTCAGACCTGAGCAATTCACTGCCGTTGTGCGGGCCGAGTTTGTTCTCATCTACAAAACTAGATTAAGAAAACTGATAGGGCTGCCATGAGGAATAAATGATGTTATTATGAAGATCTCTTCGAGTACCAAGGGCTATGTGAACGTTCAGGGGTAGAAGTAATAATTTCACCACCATCATAATCGTGAACCTAACCCTGCTTTTAGGAAGAGTGAAAGTGTGCTGCCTCTGGAACTGGCTTGTTTGCGCAAGTGGTTATGCTTTGGTTATTTAGGGCGCTACCAAGTACTCTTCGTTCTAGAAGAACGGGTGTAACTCATGGCTTGGCTTGGGGCCAGATGTGCTATATTCAGTTCTGCTCCCACTCTCCTCAGCACTATCACCAGGCAGAGGCCGTGCCCCACGACTTTACCTTGCTGCTTTTGCATGGTGGTGAAATCCTCAAAGGTGAGTGTGCGCACAGGGGGTCTCCAGAACGCGTAAGTCTCCATGATGGCTTCCAGTCCGGTCCTGCCAAGGAGAAAAGTCAGCAAAGGGAGTTGTAAATAACGCCAAGAAATGCACTGACTTTTTAAAGATCTGTGGTGATTTGTCTGAGAAGTGGTATAGACATAGGCACTGAGAGATATCACCACCGGGGGCAATTCGTCTGGAAGAGCGCAAGGTATAGAGGACACTGAAATGCAAAAGGAAGAAGAAATTAGCCCAATTCAGATTATTTGCGAGTAAGTCGTAACTATGATGGACTTTTCCTCTGAGCTTTCTTCAAAGGATGTCTGGTCTGCATGGAAAAAAAAAAACCCACCTTAATTGTTAAAGGTCAAGGTCACTAATATCACGAATGGAGTTGAACAGAGAGTAGCGCTGCCGGTTTCTCTAGCACAGGACGATGTCGTCATCATTACCACAGTGACACAGACACAGACTGCCCCAGCTCTATCAGTGAATATGTGGAGTCAATGAAATTGTCAAATCGCTGTGGTTTTACAGGCTTCTTAAATCAACAGAGGCAAGCAGGGCAGATACACTTGAGTTTCCGTTGCCTTAAAAAACACTCACCTGAAGGCAAAGAAAGGGTTTGGTCCCAGAAACTATACCTCAAGCAAAAAGGCCAAGACCTTTCTGTAAATATTTACCTGTATTTTATCATCTAATAATCAAGCTGGTCGTTGAGGGCCACTTACTTGAGACAGTCAGACCACAGGAAACATCCAGGATTTTATGAATACATTAAGGCTTCTCTGTTTCATTGATACTGGAGGTTCCATTAATTGAAATATGCACACAGTGCCTACTTTACCCGTCAATAAATTATCTCTCTGTCATATATATGAGGTGCTGATGGGCACAATTTCAACATAACTGTCCAAGTTATCTCAGACATATTCTTGCTGATATTCCAAGTCCTCGGAACAGAGTCCTGGCTGGGGCTTCGTTTAAAGCTTTGAACATAGCTTCTGATTATTGACTTTTCTTTAAAATTAACTGCTTCACTTCTATCTAAGTGGAGGGAAGGGAAGTTCAGGGACTACGGGGAAGGCAGGACAAGGAGGTAGAGAAAACGAGGTGACATAGTCCTTTCATTGCAAAGTTACTGGAAGGTAACATGGCGTCCCTTCCCAGAAAAGACAAGCTTTCCCTCCTGAGATGAAAACACGCTGCCTGTCCTGCTCCCTAGGCAATACATTTCCAGAGTTGTCTTCAGTCCTGCAGACCAAGAACAAAGTGAAAAGTTTTATTTTAAGTGAGAACAAATATCCTTTCCTTATAAATGACTATAAGATCCCCTGAGGTTCTTCTCAGATGAGCTGCTGATACACTGATTGGCTCTTTATGTTGGAAAATCTCCTCTCTGAACAGCCCTTACTTGCACAGTTAACTTTCTAAAGTCTTCCCTGGAATCTTGGAGGCTTTAAATACACCAATGTTGGCAAATCGAACTCTGTATTTTTAGAAGAGGTTGAGAAGAGAGGGTGTTGCATGGTGTTTATTAGCTGTTAATCTGTTAAAAGTAGGAATAGAAGACGTGTCCACATACTCACCTACATCAATGCTGAATACAGTACATGAAACTATTTGTGGAGAGAAAGAGTCCAGGCAATTAGGGAGTTCACAATAATAAGGGGATAGGCAGATAAAGGCATGCCGAGCTTTGATAATTGTAAGAAAGAGATAGGCCGGGCCTAGATCTCACTGCGTTGCTCTGGAATGCTGGCCACCCACCAGAACATCTTAGGATTCCCTTTAATGGCATGGCAGGCTCCCTGCAAATGGCAAGGTCTTTGTTGCTCCACCTCCGATTCCATTCTTCCCAGGAACATGTACTAACGAGGGGCAAAATATTAGCTCAAGGACAAAGAACAGTCCCTTCTCATTTCCTAATAAAGTGACAGAAGACAGAAGTAACAATAATATACTGTTATACTTGCCAATATTGTATTTATTAAAGAAATATAAAAAGCTTTGATTTCATTTTCACAACAGGCAAAAAGATTGTGGCAAAGGTATTCATGATTTTATTTAAGCAGTCAACTCTCTATAGGATAGTGGCCATTTGCCCATCTGTCCAAGTCTAAAATCCAACTGAAAGACGGAGTCGTGGAATCAATAGGTTTAAAAATTGGGAAAGTTGGGGTGCCTGGGTGACTCAGTCGGTTAAGCATCTGACTTCAGCTCAGCTCATGATCTCGCAGTTTGTGACTTCGAGCCCCACGTCGGGCTCTGTGCTGACAGCTCAGAGCCTGGAGCCTGCTTTGGATTCTACGTATCACTCTCTCTCTGCCCCTTCCCTGCTCGTGCTCTGTCTCTCTTTCTCTCTCAGAAATAAATAAACATTAAAAAAAAATTTTTTTTTAATAAAAAAACAAAAGGGAAATTCCTGGGTATCACCTACTTCTACTTCCTGTGGTGCCAGCTTTGGATGGTTATTCAGCCTTTGTTGGAGTATTTCCCAAGGAAAATACTCAGTTTTCTAACAGACGTTAGAAAGTTCTTTCTGACCTTGGGCTGAAATCTCTGATGTAACTTTTACCCTCTGGTTCCTTTACCAATGAGTAAATGGTGACAGTGCCAGACGGTTTCCACATCCCCTTCAGGAAGACTTTCCTTAGCTGTTAATGTAATGCACGAGATTCCACATATGGACACAGCCATGGTCTATCCAGTCCAGGGGTCGGTCACAAGATTGATGTTGGTGGTGGGGTGGTGGGGGAGGGGTCATGACTACCAAAAAATAATGACTAAGACCACACATTCCTCACCACACTTGGCCGTGGCTCCATCCTTCATAGAATTATCCTGGATACTCCCTGAATCTATTTATATATGCAAAGCATGTCTCTTTTTAGAAAAATTAATCCTATTTGTTTACTATATGCCACATCTTATTTGTCCTCAAACTCCATTAAGCTTCACTGGATAGATCTAATTGTTAGAAAGTACTAGTTCTATGTATCAGGCTCGGGTGATGGGCCACGGCAAGATAAGTTCCAGGTAATCCAGGTAATAAATTCCCTCTCCATCACTAGCACGTCTGCTTTGGATCCCATGTTTCTCTGTGTCCCAGTGCTTAAGGTGATGCCTATTGCCTGGTAAGACTCAATTTACGTGCACTTAATTCATTAAAAAGGAGTAAATTTTCACCCTGTGTTTTATTACTGAGCCATTGTTTCATGAACTGTAGCCAGCGTAAAACTTAAAAAAACAACTTGATGGAAAATCAGGACTCTGAAGACAAAAGGACTCCTTTGGTATTGGAGAAGTGGGACTTGTTTCCATAGCTGTTTGTGCCTTTCTTGACTCAGGTCTCAGAGGAGTTTCACTTTTCCTTTGGTTTCTTCTGTTCCAGTCACAGAATTTCTGACCTGCAAGTCTGAGTCCCCTATCAGAGGCCCGTCATTTCTACCCTCATCTTCTCTTACAAGAGTCTTTGCCAACTACCCATTAACATCTTCAGCCACTTGGACATCTATTCAAAGTTTATCGTGAGCAGCACATTGTTTACTTATTCATCACCACTGAACGCTGGGTTTGTAAAATTTTATCTTAAGGTTCTTAAAAGTGAATTCATTGCCTAACAGATTTAAAAAAAAAAAAAAAGGCAGTCTTAGGTAACCTCACGTCATTAACATGTTCCACATGGTGGGCCTCTCTGGGTCCATTGCACACCAGAGACCTGATGTCACGTCTGAGGTTTCCAATCAGAGATGATCATATTGGCAAGTGCCTCCTTCTTGCTTACTTTTCCTTGTTTGCTCCAGTGACAAGAGAGGCCATATCTAACCCTTTTTGTTCAGTGCTTTGGCTGGAATCATCTCTCTGATTTCCAGGCCTCTTCTCTTTAGACTTTTCAGTCTGCTCACTGGCCAAACCAACAGAATGTGCTCAAGAGGAGGGAGAAAAGGAAGGAAAGGAAGCAAGCCAAAGATCTCTTTTACAAATTGATGATGCTTCAAGATCAACTGATTTGAAAAAAAAAAAAAAAAGCCAGACTGCAAAGCATTATTCTTCCAAATTCTAATTAAAAATAAAATGTGGGATTGCCCCGCTTTGGAGTTCAGCAAATATTTGATCATTATAACAACAATTATAACTACATTCATGAATCTATTAGGTAGCACGTTGATGTATACTTTGTTTTTTTATTTGTGTTGAGAGACAGGGTTGCTTTTTATGATTCTTCTATTTATTTTCTCTGTAGTTCTGACTTTTAACTCTTCCCCAAGTTACTTGCTGGTGATTCTGGCAACAAAGGGAACCTATACTAGGGATTGATAAGGCCATCGGCCATCTGTCAATAACAGACAGTCAAGAAATACAGAGATGGGGTTTTGAAGTCACAAAGAAGTTTTCCAACCAGTAAATGTGCCGTGTTCAGGAGATTTAAAAACAAAAAAGAGCAGAGGGTCTTTACTGTAATTTGGGAGTGTCCTGTTTAACAAAAAGAGAAAAACGTGTAGGGGTGCCTGGGTGGCTCAGTTGGTTAAGTGTCCGACTCTTGATTTTGGCTCAGGTCATGAGCTCATGGTTCACGGTTCTAGCCCGACAATGGCAGCATGGAGCCTGTTTGGGATTCTCTCTCTCCCTCTCTCTGTCTGCCCCTTCCCTGCTTACACATACCATCTCAAAATAAATAAACAAACTTAGAAGAAAGAGAGAACAACATGTAAATGACTAATTCTGACCTGTGTGATCAGTGCTACACTGACGATACATAGAAGATGCCATGGAGCCCTGAACAAGAAGTACTTCCTACACCTGGGAAACTCCAGGATCACTCCATGATAGGCCAGTGACTTCAGCTTCATATTAAAGGTTACTCAGCAGTTTCCCCCACAGACAAGAGGCAGAAAGACCTTTCCTAGGAGAGCTAACAGTGTGCGCAAAGCCTTGGAGGTATGGAAGGGAAGGCACGTTCTGGGAACTGAAAATAGTTCAGGGTGACTGGAGCTCCAGGTGCAAGATGAGATGATGGGGCAGATACTGTGGATATTTATGCCATGTTAGGTGCT